GAAGCACAAAAGTGGCGCTTGGCTAAAACAATCAAACCAGAAGAGAAAAATATTCAGAGGCGTCAAAAATATTAACTAGCACCCTATTCCTAGCCTAGAACACAATCTAACGAGAAGTGTCATAATCAACATCTAAGTGCTCAGGGTAAATTTCCTAGTATGTATGACTTTGATGGAGTCGCCACACTAGCTCCATCCTAAAGATCCAAGGGATCTCTAAAGAGTGTCATCTAAGATGAATTTTGAAAAAAAATTTGCTTTACATATGACCTAGTTTGCTACATGCATAATTTAAAATCATAATAGACATAATAAATAGCAAAAAATATATTTGCCCAGTTTTAAAATATGGGCCATTAAAAGGCAGACCCATAACATGCAATGTTACACGAGTTATATCCATTTGATCATTAACACAATCATACTCGTGTCAATCCCGGTGCTTTAACTCACATTTCTTGCCTGAATCAACCGAGCAAGCAATGCTCATTAAGACATTGTGACCAATGATCCTGTACTGCTTATATGCAACAATATAACAATGTCTTTGATGATATTTTTCACTTATGTTTCTTCACTTTGCAACAGAACCAAAAACTTGATCCTGGAGAAAATAAGAATTTAACTTTTTAATTATATATATATTGAGATATTACGCAAGTATACATATTGTTATCAAGTAATATAGGACTTTTCGATTAAGACCTCAATATCATATCCATAGGGAAAATTAGCAATATGCATAGCAAACTTTCTATTTAGAAAGACAATTACTTAAACTTATAGATATTTTCATAGTAATTAAAATTCAAATCTTTCTGATATTTTTGATATATTAACAAAACAATAAAAAAACTTCTAAAATAGAAAGACAATTACTTAAACTTATAGATATTTTCATAGTAATTAAAATTCAAATCTTTCTGATATTTTTGATATATTAACAAAACAATAAAAAAACTTCTAAAATTAACTTGAGTTTATGTAAAAGAAAAGCACTGAATATGAAAATATCTTTCTCTTCATCATGAATTATAAATAAGTATATGAATTATGTAGTGAAAGTATGCAAATTATGTTGTGTCAAATAGAAGCAATAACATTCTTTACCTTTACTAGAGATGCTATAAAGAACATTGGTGTTGACCTCACTTTTGGTTGAGGTCTAGAAACTTCTTTAGTAGCCTAGGTCTAGCCATAGGACTTTCTTATTGACTAGTCTTAGAAAATTAGAAAAGGTACCCCCACCATTAGAAATTCAAAACTTTTCTTTTTACTCAACTTGAAATTCCATATAATGATCTTAACCTCTAGCATTTAGTAGATAAGATCATTATAAGAGAATTCAAGAAGAGTCCCTATAGGATTACTTGGCTTTAGGATTAACCCTGGGTGTTGACTTGGAGCTAGGGTACACCATATCTTCACAATA